ACGCAGCACCAGGTGTTGAAATTTTGTTCACCTAACAATTTTGCACCCAGAGCAACCACCCCTGTTGCCCCCCCCCCCATACTACTCGATTGCCTAGAGAGGCCAGACTGGCTTCCCCATTGTTGTCCTTCTGCTGACAGGTAAAGACTATTTTATTCCAGCAAGTCTTTTGGGAACTTCTTTTTCAAGGAAATGGGTTTTAATGCTGCTTTGCTGCTTTTATCACCTGTATTTTAATAGATCTGTTTTGATATAATAATAAACTATGTGGCTATCAGACGCAGGCCTGGTGCTAGATGAAGTCTGTTGCTTGAGTCCAAGGACAAGGGGGTTTATCTAATGCTAGTCCTATTAAAAATAATGGATGTGACTATGTTAGATCCATTCATTTCCATAGGTCTACTCTGAGTAGAACTTGAGATGTCCCGCTTCTGCCATTCTGCATACAAAAGTAGACTAAATTGCTGGCTGAATTTTACTTCAGCACTGATGATGGGACGGTGCTCTCATGAGGGCAGTACACTAGCTTAGAGGGCTCAGGGCAGACTGCATGAGTCATGCAGTTATATCTGGGGGAAGGTCTGTGGCTCAGTGGTAGAGCATCTGCTTTCCATTCATGGTATATAATTCCATGCACAATACAGTGGTGACTCGGGTTACAGACGCTTCAGGTTACAGACGCTTCAGGTTACAGACTCCGTTAACCCGGAAGTAGTACCTCTGGTTAAGAACTTTACCTCAGGATGAGAACAGAAATCACGTGGCGGCAGCGGGAGGCCCCATTAGCTAAAGTGGTACCTCAGGTTAAGAACAGTTTCAGGTTAAGAACGGACCTCCAGAACAAATTAAGTTCTTAACCCGAGGTACCACTGTAATATAATTGGACAAATTGGTAAAGTTAGACAATAGCGATAATGCTATTGCACTCAATTGCTTGCTGGCTTTCCAGAGGCATATGGTGACCACTGCGAGAATACGGTGCTGGGTTAGACAGGCTGTTGGCCTGATCCATTAGGGTTCTTAGGAACATAAGAGCCTCCTGGATCAGGCCAATGGCCCACCAAATCATTTTTTTGTTCTCACAGTGGCTAACTAGATGCCTACAAGCAGGATTCAAGCACACTCTCCCATTCTGTACTTTCCAGCAGCTGGTATTCAGAAGCACTGCTGCCTCCAATAGTGGAGGCAGATCACAGCCATCATGGTTGGTAGCCACTAATAGCCACCATCCTCCATGAATTTGTCTAGTCCTCTTTTATAACCATCCAAGTTGGTGGCCATCACTGCATCCATTGGGAGTTCCACAGTTAACTATGCATCATGTGAAGAAGTCCTTTCTTTTATCTGTCCTGAATGTAGCCATTGATAGTCTTACTCTCCCTCCTTCTTGCAGAGCAGGCTGGCTTAGGGGAGACCCTGGGGGAATGCATCTGCCGCCTGAAGCAACTGCAACCCCCCTGTCTAACCAGCTAGCTGGCCCAGTGCGGGGAAGTGTGAAGCCACATCAAGCTTTCCCCTCCCACGTGTGCTCATTGAAAGTCAGAGTCAGGGCCCGCTTTGCAGAATCAAATCCTCCAAGTGAAAGTCTGATTCTTCGATTAAAGCGTCAAGGTGATAACCCAGCCTGACAGCTCCGAGACAGGCGTCTCCCCCTCCCCCGGTGAAGCCGGGTTTGCTCTCTGCCACCACAGAAGCTGCAAATGAAGTGCTGTGTGGGCTGGAGGCAGGGGAGGGGAGCAACGGAGAAGGATGTCGGGAGTGGGAGAGAGAAAGTTATGGTGCCAAGCTTTCTTTTACCCTTCACATTTTCACTTTCCCCTGTGCTTGCCAAATAAATAAATATGGAAATAAAAGAGCTTGAATTTACCTCCCTCCCTCTTCATCTGGGGATTGAAGAGCTGCCTTCTCTCAAGGGAAGCTTTCCAGGAGCTGCTCAGAAAACTCTCCTCGATGAAAGGCTGCTGTGTTTGGGGCTTCCTAGATGGACAAATCTGTGGAGAAGGCTGTCAATGGCTATGAGCCACTGTAACTATGGTCTGCCTCCATGGTCGGAGGCAGTAATGCTTCTGAACACAGGCACACTTCAGAGATATTGAAGGTTCAGTTCCAGACCGCTGCAATAAAGAAGCGTATCACAATAAAGAAAGTCACACAATTTTTTGTCTGTTTCCCAATGCATATAAAAGTTATGTTTACAACATACTGCAGTCTACTAAGTCAGGCGCCGCCCTGGCTGCGGGGGCAGGAAAGGGAAATTCTAGCTCCAGTCCTGACCAGCTTAGGGGTGGAAAGGGGGTGTGTGTTCTTTTCCCTGGAAGTGGTCGGGCTGCTTGCAGATGCACCCATCCCTGTATATCTGCAAAGCACAATAAAACTAGGCATGTCTGTGCCAGGATGCAAGGCCTGCCTGCCCACGAGACAAGATGAGGTGACTGCCTCAGGCAGCAGGATTCACAGATGCAGCAGATCCAGTCTTCAAGGAATGCTTCGCCTGCTGCTGCCGCAGTGGCAGCAACAGCTGTGGCACACTTCTTGGAAGCCAAATTTGCCACCTCCTTGGCAATCCCCCAGTTCTGCTTCTGCAGTGGCCACTTGGTGAATACTTGGTCTCTTCCCACACCTAGGGAGGAAATGGCAGAGGCTGCCCTCTGGGGGGCTCTGCACCTACCAGGTGTGACTTATTGTGGGCCCCTTCCCCCCCCCATAACGGCCTTTGATTCCCACTTTAACCGCTAGGTAAGGTTGATTTGATGCTTGCCCTTGTTCCTGATATAGACCTTTATTCCTCCCTTGTACTTCTTCACTCACCCCTTCCTCCTTGGTGGGGAGGGGCAGCCATTTTGTGGTTTGCCTCAGGTGCCAAAGGGTCTTGGGCCGGCCCTGCCAGGAAAGGAGACTGCTCTTGTGCTCAGGTCCTACTTGCAGTTTGCAACTCCCCTATGAGGAAAAAGTGCAGCAACTGTTGACAGAAAAGGCCAGGAAGAGATGACATGATAGAAGTCCATGTAGTTATGCAATACATAGAGAAAGTGGATAAAAGTTTTCTTTCCATAACACTAGAACTCATGGATATCCAATGAAGCTGAATGCTGGTGGACAGATACAAAGACTTCTCCACACAGTGCATTCCCTACTGCAGGCAAGAGGTGGAAGAACGCTCCTATTTAGAAGAGGCATTCATTCATGAGAGGGGAGCACCCTTTCTTATATCAGCAGATGGAAACTTGTGGGCCTGAAGATGTTGTTTGACTCCAACTCCCATCAGCCCCAGCCAGGACAGCCAATTGTAGGGGGATGATGGGAATTGTAGTTCAGTAATTTCTGGAGGGCCACAGGTTCCACACACATGGTCTAAAACTAAACTTTCACATTCCAAATCCAAATGTGGATCTCAAGCAGAACATCTGGTAGAGGAGGCAAATTACAGAATCTTTATTTGTTTCAGCTTGAAAGAAATGGTTCATTTTCTTTTCTTTCTTTTTAAAGCAAATCTTCCACCGCCCCCAACAAAAGAAAACTTCCACAATCTTGAATCCCATTAGTTGAAGATGTGGGATGTCGGGTTTGTGTGTTCATAGAATCATAGAATCATAGAGTTGGAAGAGACCACAAGGGCCATCGAGTCCAACCCCCTGCCAAGCAGGAAACACCATCAGAGCACTCCTGACATATGGTTGTCAAGCCTCTGCTTAAAGACCTCCAAAGAAGGAGACTCCACCACACTCCTTGGCAGCAAATTCCACTGTCGAACAGCTCTCACTGTCAGGAAGTTCTTCCTAATGTTTAGGTGGAATCTTCTTTCTTGTAGTTTGGATCCATTGTTGTCAGGAGTTTTTCAACAACGCTCCACAGGGGTAATGCAAAATATGAGCAGAGCAAAATATGTAAAACACTGTGCACATTAAAAGTTTCTGCGTGCATCTTGAATTAAAAATCTGAAGGAAACAAGGCCGTGAGATGCACAGACATTTATTAAGAGGTGTGTGGGGGGGGGGGGGAGAGATAAAGGACTTTACATTAAGAAAATTTGCCTTGTCTTCCTTGGATCTCATTGCGCCTTCCTCCGATATTAGTATTATAATAGAATAACAACATATCCCGGAGGTGCTGTTCATTTTAGTTAAGTAATGTTTGCAAAGGGCTTTGATTTCTTTGAGAAAAAGGTGCCACTGAAATGCTAAGTCTTGTTGCTTTAATAAGCTCCTGGCTTCAAAGATCCTTTAGCAGGGAGCTGAATTATTAGCACTATTTTCCCAAGCACGTCATAGATTTAATAAGGACAAAATGGAGATCTGTGATAAGTGGTGTGTGTGGCCATGGGCTTCTGTGCCTTTTCTTAGGCCCATCATCATCATCATCATCATCATCATCATCATCATCATCTATATTCCACCTTCAACTCCTTGGAAGAAAGTTGACATAGAAATATAATTAATGATAACTCTATATAGTTTCCTGCCCTGCCCTTTTTAACCTCACAACAACTCTGTGAGGTTAGCTGAGGAGCAGTGAATGGCCCAAGGTCACCCAGTGAGCTTCATGACTGAGTTATGAACCCTGGTCTCTCAGGTACTAGTCCAGAAATCTAACTACTATACCACACTGTCTCTCTTAACCTGCACCTCAAGTACAGCATCCCACATGATGATGCAACCTAGTAAGGCTCATGCTCTAGATGAGGGGTGTGGCCACACTATACTTTGGTTCTGCATCTCCAGGGCAACTGGTAATCTCAGCTCAGTGTTATTCCTAGCTGGGAGGTGAGTTGTAAGCGCAACAAATACTTCCAGATTCCATCTCCAGCATCTCTGTAGGGCTAGGATTTCTTGTCTGAAATCCTGGAGAGCCACTGCCAGCCAGTGCAGGCAATACTGAGCTAGGCAGGCCAACAATCTCACTCAGTGTAAGGCAGAATCCAGTGAATTTATTAACTGGCCATCCCAGTGCTGCTGACACTGGATCCAGCTCAGAAGGCCTCCTTCCTCTAATGTAATTAAAGAATGGCTGTAGCTCAGTGATAGAGCTTCTACTTTGCAAGCAAAAAGTCCCTGGATCAATTCCTGGCATCCTCCAGGCATGGCTGAGAAAGATCCTTCTCTGAAACCCCGGAGAGCTTCTGCCAGTCAGTGTTGACAATACTGAGCTAGATAGACCAATGGCCTGACTCAGTATAAGGCAGCTTCCTATGTTCTTCAGGAGCATCTATAGTTCCATGGTTGACCATCTGCTTTGCACACAGAAGGTCCCAGGTTTAATCCCTGGCATCTCCAAAAAGGGCTGGCTACATCCTTGCCTAAAACCCTTGAGAGTTTCAGTGTTGACAACACTGAGCTAGATGGATCACTTGTCTTGGTATAAGGCAGCTGCCTGTCAGTGTTGCTAATACTGGGCTAAGCTTTGGATTCCTTTGGGTGGGTAGACCACATTTTCAGAACACCAGCTGTGAGCCAGTTTCCCTTGCAACATCACCTCCCGTTGACTCCTTGCAAGAAAACAATTCTCTTTATGTCAGCTGGAAGGTAAAATGTTGCTTTGATGATGTTTGTGGGGTTTTAAGGACCAGCAGTAAAAATACTGTAAAGAGGCAAGCCCAGTAGATGCTACAACCGTCCATCCATTTAAAACTTCATTTTGGAGGTTTTGTGGTACAGTTTATATGTGCTGCAATAAAAGACCAAAAAGCTTATATTCTGAGCCCTCCAGAACTTTGCCATCCAGTGATATCTGCCCTTTGGACCAAGTTTGCAAAATATCAGAAAGGGGTGGGGGGTGAGCTTGTTCCCAGAGTCTGTTTTTTAACCATCAAAGTAATGGGAGCCTTGTTTTTACACCGTTTTGTTATTTGAAAGGCAGGAAAACTTTTTTCATCCTCACCAGTGCTGCACAAAATGGGACATGCATCGATCTGTGGACATTTCTTTTCAAGCAGAGAAATATCAAAAGAGAGAAAGAAATATTCCCATTGTCGATCTGATTTAGCCAACAAAAATCAGATTGTTTCCCCTCCAATCTTCAAAAGAAATCCATTTCTAAACAAGAAGAATAAGAAAAAAGAAGAACATAGGAGGCAGAGAAATACGAGAAGTTTGTAATTATAGGACGTCACTATTTTCATCGGAGAAATGCTGGGGGGGTATGGAATAGGATGTCCCTATTTTCACTGGAGAAATGCTGGAGCGTATGAAATAAGATATCCCTATTTTAATAGGCAAAATGCTGGAGGGTATGGAGCTTCGCAACCTCACAGCTAAGGAGATAAAACACTATACAGTCTTTAGAAGACATCTGAAGGCAACCGTGTATAAGGAAGTTTTAAAATGTTTTATTATATTTTTAAAGTTGTTAGAAGCAACCCAGTCAGATGGGCAGGGTATAAATAGTAAAATTATTTTTATTATTATTATTATTATTATTATTAAATAAAGGTAAAGGGACCCCTGACCATTAGGTCCAGTTGTGACCGACTCTGGGGTTGTGGTGCTCATCTAGCTTTATTGGCTGAGGGAGCCGGCGTACATGTGGCCAGCATGACTAAGCTCTGGCGAACCAGAGCAGCGCACGGAAACACTGTTTACCTTCTCGCTGGAGCGGTACCTATTTATCTACTTGCACTTTGACGTGCTTTTTAACTGCTAGGCTGGCAGGAGCAGGGACCGAGCAACAGGAGCTCACCCTGTCGCGGGGATTCGAACCGCCGACCTTCTGATCAGCAAGTCCTAGGCTCTGTGCTTTAACCCACAGCACCACCCGCGTCCCTTTATTATTGAATAGGATGTTCCTATTTTCATCTGAGAAAGCACCTGGTGGGCAGCTCTGAGGCCTCAGGCCAGGCCAACGCTCTCTCCTATATCCAAGCAGCTGATTTGAAGGGTATTTTCAGAAGCTTCCAAAACACCAGGGCAAAAGCAAGCCAGGAGGCAGTGAGGATCTGTTAGGCATTCCCTCATTGTTCCATTCAGCTTAGCTTACTTACTTGAGTCACCTGGAGCAATTCCTGACAGCGTCCATATTTTCCTATTTTCCAATCACCCTGGTTTCTGATTAGATCCTGGAAAGTCTTGCTTTTCCTTAGGACGTCCCTATTTTCATTGGAGAAATACTGGAGGGTATGGAGTTATGCCCCCCCCCCCGAAGCCATCTGAATGCAGCCCTGTATAGGGAAGTTTTTTTAAAAAGTTTAATGTTTTATTATGTCTTTCTTTATATTGGAAGCTATCCAGAGTGCCTGGGGCAACCCAGTCAAATGGACAGGTGTTCGTCATTGTTAACTGACCTGTGTAGGTTTGTATATTAAGGGACATGTGGTAAAATGTTGTGTAGAGAAACATTTGTGGGATATAAGGTAAAGTGAGAGCAGTGAGTGGGCTGTGAGAGGATGGAACCTTGGGGTGTGCTGCGTGCTGATTGGCTGAGGATGGAGTGTGACAGGCAGGTGACAGTTGGGACAGTGTGTGTGTGACAGTTAAAGGCAGTTGGGCTTTGGAGGGAGGAGGGAGGAGGGAGGAGGGAGGAGGGAGGAGGGAGGAGGGAGGAGGGAGGAGGGAGGAGGGAGGAGGGAGGAGGGAGGAGGGAGACTCAAAGAAATCCATTTCCTCAAGACATGTTTGTGGCTTAGACAAGATGATTTGTCTCAGGAGGGCAGTTTGGTCCCAGGGACGCCAGTTGCCAATCCCGATCTCTACAGAAGAAGGGCCTTGACAGTCTCATCTTTGGGAAGGAGCGAGGAATCTGCCCTGCTGAGGTCTTCCAAAATTTGGCAGTTGTGGTCCCAGCCAGTGTCAACAGATACAAAATCAGTTCCTTGTTATTAAGGTCTCGATCCAAACATACAAATTCAAAAGAGCCAGACAAGGAGAAGGGTGAATTGTTGGCCCAGTTATCAAAAAGATCTCAGAAAATACTTTGGTCCAGGACCCTTTGTTTGGCGCCGTCCTGCCAGATATGCCTGTGGGTCTCAGGATCCTGGCATGGTGGGGAGGCACCCCTAAGTGTACAAAATAAATTCATTGTGATGTCAAATAGCAACCATGTGCCATTTGCAGGGAGAGTTCCCTGGTGTGAGCCGAAAGAGAAGAGCTTTCTCCCATCTTATTCTTGTATCTGAACTTGCCTGGGAAGTCTCTTGTCACCATAGGCATAGCTGGGGGGCAGGGGGGGAAGCTGCCCCCCATCAATAAAAACCAATAAAAACACATAGCAAACTGAGGTTCTGGCCCCAAAATGAAAGCCCCCCCACAACCAAAATCCTGGCTACACCCATGGTTGTCACTCTTTGTGGCCGGACTTAACTTGACAAGATCTCCCTCTCCCCGCCTCAAGGTCTTTGATGAGGACTCCGTCTGGGTGGAAGGGAAAGGGAATGAAAAGAACGCTACTTAAGGGATGGGAAACCCCTGGAGGTGCCACATCCCACTCTCCCAAGCCCAAACTGCCCCTATTCTGTTGGCTACCAAAAGATGTTCATTTCAAGACTGATTTCGGTGGGGGTGAAAGGTGAACCTGTGGGCACCAGAGGCGGTCTCTCCAGCCCCCAGGGTGCCTTTGGGGGGCATGTTGGCATGTCCTATCCAAGCACTGCCCCCCCACTGCCTCCCAGAGCTCGGCTTTAAATGCCAAAGATGGTAGAGGCTGAGGTACCCTTCCCAAGTTCGCCCGGCCACATGAAGATCATCTTTCCAAGGGCTCCACCGTGAACCTCCTCAAAGAGTGGAGCTCCAACGGTGGGCCCTGGGCTGGCAACTCTGCAGGTGAAACAAAGGAAAAAGGTCAAAAATAAAGTAAAATACAAAGTAACCACCTCTGCCTTCCTCCAAGTCTCCTCAAAGCAGAGGTCAGTCTCCTCCGGACTCCATTATCATCAGAGTCTTACAGGCCTCGCAATCATCTTCCTCTCAGCAACAGAACAATTGCTCACCTGGAGCCCCAGACTTGCCTGTTTCCACCTCCTGGTGACCCACAAGGATCTTTCTTGGAGACCATGGGGTGGACCTTGTTCCTCTTGCAGCAACTCTCACAGCCTCTTGAAGCTAGGAGAGAATGGGGAGAAGTTGAGAAACTGGAGCCCTGGGTTCAAGCCATCCCTCCGCCACCACGCTCACAGGGTGACCTTGGACCAGTCCCTCTCTCTGCCCAGCCCACCTCAGGGAAGTCCAGATGAGGCAGAGGAGGGCTGCAGCAATGGACCTGATCATTGGGGGCCAGGGCTTCAAACTCACTGCCAACTCTTTCACTCCTGCTCCTCACTGCCAACTTCTGATCAGTTGCAGTTGGTCCCTAGAAGCCAGCAGTGAGTGATGTCACATAGGCTGGGCTGGGTGAGTCATGGTTGCCTTGACAACAGCCTCCCCACTAAAGCTGGACCACTCTGGCTCCTCCTTCAGAATGGGGAGGCAAGACCCTCCAAGTGCCCCTATTTTCCAGGGACAGTCCTGGATTTTCAGAAGTCATCCTGGTTTCTGATTTAATCCTGAAATGTCCTTTTTTTTTTTTGCTTAGGACATCCCTATTTTCATCAGGGAAACGTTGGAGGGTATGGAATAGGATATCCCTCTTTTAATTGGAGAAATGTTGGAGGGTTTGTAACTGAAATGATTGCATGTGATGGGGTTTCTGATTTACCAAAGCTCTGAACAAACATTGCGGCTGAGTCTGGATGTCATTTTTGATCTGCTGTTAATTTTGCCTTTTCAAGGACATCCTTTTAAATTTATGAAAGGGAGGAGGAACACGGACATCCCAACACTGTCAATCCACTTTCCAACGAATAACGTCACAATTCATTACTTGCAGAGACAAATGCTCACATCATGAGTTGAAGGCAGGGCGGGTAGGACAGGAGATATCCTAGGGATGTGGAGAAAATTGTTTGCTATTAAATTTATTGTGACTTTTTAAAAACCAAAGCAATGCAAAGCGACTTACAAATGAACAGACTACATCAGAAGGTGGTGGACTTTCTTTCAATGAAGGTTTTTAAACATAGGTTGGTTGGATGACCACTGCCAGGGACTCTTTAGCTGTGATTCCTACATTGCCGGGGGTTAGACTAGATGACCCTTGGGCCCATTCCAACCTGATGATTCTATGAAACCACATAAATTGAAACCAGCATAAAAAAGACAATCCTGTTTTTTAAAGGCAGGATGAAAACATCTGAGTCAGACATAGAGGCCACAGATAATTTAAAAGCCAAAAGTCTTTTGCGTGGCACCAAAAGCTATCCCATGATGGTGCCAGCTGAGCCTCCCTGGACAGCATTCTGCAGGTGGGGAGCCACCAGTAAAAAACAAAACTCTTCTCATGTCACCACCCTCTGGAATTCCCATGGGGCTCAGATGTTCATCCCACTTCTGGAACAAAAGCAGGTCTCTCCTTTGAAATTCAAAATTCCCTAGAGATGGAAGAATCTGTCAATATGGCCACTCCCTTTCAGTGGCATAGCAGGGGGGCAGGGGGCTGTGTCCCTGGGTGCAAAATTCTGAGGAAGCACCCAGGCACCCCCATGCAGGTGGTGGCTTCCGTGGGGATCCCTCCCCCACCCCGGCATAGGTGGCAGAACAGCCTGTCGGGGGACTGTCAGCGCCACCCCCCAGGCATGTCCTGGATGGCCCCACCCCTGGCTCCCCGTCCTTCCTTGCTTGCCTGCCTTCTGCTGGGGGTGCTTCTGGGCTGCAGAGTCTGGCCTGGCCTCACTGCCATGTCCTTGACAGAGGCCAGCAACCTTTGCCTTATTTTCCTGGTCTTGAAGTAATTTCCTTACATTTCATAGAGAAAGAATAATAGAATCATGGAGTTTTTAGAGTTGGAAGGGACCCTGAGGAGCATCTAGTCCAACCCCCTGCAATGCAGAAATATGCAGCTGTCCCATACAGGGACTGAACCTTGTACAATCCATACAGGGAGTATCAGTACCATGCTCTTAACCAACTGATCTATTTCTGCAACAATGTGTTTGTATATAAAATCTCATGAAAATTCATTGGCATTTCAGAGCAAATTTCTCCAAAAACATACATTTTCGTATGGCATTTTGACTAATGCACACATTTTTGCAAGCAACCTCCCCTAATGCATGTTGTATGCTTTCTCCCTGAACACCTTCATTTTAATGCAAACTTTCCCTAACACACACAGTTTTGTAACACCAGTTGGTTGGAGAACTGCACTGCAAAATTCAGTTATTTCATCGTCAATTTATTGAATTTATCTCAGGTTGGAATACCAGTTGCTGGAAGCCACAGGATGGGGAAGTACAGTGGTACCTCGGGTTACATACGCTTCAGGTTACATACGCTTCAGGTTACAGACTCTGTTAACCCAGAAATAGTGCTTCAGGTTAAAAACTTGGCTTCAGGATGAGAACAGAAATCGTGCTCCGGCGGCACGGTGGCAGTGGGAGGCCCCATTAGCTAAAGTGGTGCTTCAGGTTAAGAACAGTTTCAGGTTAAGAACGGAGCTCCGGAACGAATTAAGTACTTAACCCGAGGTACCACTGTACTCTTCTGCTTGGCTCCTGCTTGCAGGCTTCCTACTGAGGCACCTGCTCAGCCATTGTGAGAATAGGATGCTGGACTAGATAGGCCATTGGCCTGATTCAGCAGGGCTTTTCTGATATTCTTATCCTTCCCCTCAACCATCACACCCCTAGGGAGCACAGGGAGGCAAACAGATCCACAATTTAAAATGAAAAACAAAGCAAAAGATCAAAACATTCTAAAAACAATGACAGGCTTCAGAGCAATTTCAGTTAAAAATGTGGTTTTTTGCATTGAGTGATCCTAGAATTGCCAAGAACAGCCACCAAATGCTAGATAAGTGCAGATTCTGGAGGATGGCTGTGTTTTGGTGCTTGTATGGTTTCGGATCAGAAATTGAATTTGATTGATTTGCCTTCAGTGCAACTGAATTTCTCCCCCATTCCGGAACTTGCCTGAATTTCCCGATGGAGATCTCCAACTAAAGAATGCCGTAGGAGATTTGTGCATTTGTGTAAGATATGTATGAAGACTGGAAATAATATCGGAAATGATGTATAATGATGCATTCTATTGGAGGAGCAGTTCTTGCAAAAAGTGCATATTTTAAGCAAAATTATGTACACATGCTGATGTATTCATTTATTTATTTTGCTGCATTTCTATCCCACACCTTTTTCTCCCTCCACAGAGCACAAGAAGGTGTACATGGTTCTTCCCTTCCTCATTTAATCCCCACAACAACCCTGTGAGGTAGGTTAGGCTGAGAGGCAGTGACTGGCCCAAAGTCTCTCCCATGACTTCATGGCCAAACTGGGGATTTGAGCCCTGCTCTTCCAGATCTTAGTCTGACACTTTAGCCCCCACCCCACACTGGCTCACATTACAATGGGTGGCAATAAAATGCATGTGGAGTTGAAAAGAAACTGCAAATGGAGCAAACTTAAGACTGCACAGTGGCAGATTTGTCCATCTTTCCTTCACATTGGCCTTAGCTCACCTCTACAATCTGGTGGGGTGGGGGTTCAGGGCAGGCCCAGCCTGCCCAGGAGGCAAGGTGAAGCAATTGCCTCAGGTTGACGGGCATGGGACCATTGGGAGGGTCTACAGATACTGGCCCACAAGGAGTGCGCCGCTCGCCACTCACAACCTCCCCCTCCTCCCCTCCTTGCTTCCTCCTCTTCCTTAACCATCCCACCTTGCCAGGGTGTGTATGTGTGTGGAATCAGTGGGAAAGTTGTCATCAGAGTGGGGGGTCAACAGCAGGGGATGTCAGCGTGGGGAGAAGTGGCCCTTTCTATTTTGCCTCAGTGGCAAAACACTCCAGTGTAGCTGAGAGGGGATTTTGCTCCAAGTGGGGCTAGGAGATTGCAAAACAGTCAAGGCTGTCACTCTTCAGATACCTGCAAAGGTAAGAAGAGGGAGCACTCATGCAGCCTTGGTAATTGGTGACAAGATTACTCCTCTGAAGTGTAATGCTATGCAAAGTGCTTCCAACGCTCTGAAGTGTAATGTCAGTCGGGTATTATTATTTTGTAAATGCCAGGTATTCTTACTCTTTCTGTGGGTGGGTGGTGGTGGGGCTTTCTGGCTTTCTGGTTCTTTCGTTCCAGGGGCAGGGAGCCTATTATTTCAGACCAAGGGCCACATCTCCTTCTGAGCAGCCTTCTGGGGGCCATGTGCTGGCAGTGGGTGGGGCCTAGGGCTGCCACCTTTGTTCTGGCAAAATATAGGACAGGGTGTGGCAGGATGGTTTGGGGGTGATATTTTTTTCATCTCGTGCTGAAGTGACTTCAAAGCAATCTATTGCAATCTATTGTACCCTAACAGGATGGCCTCTCTGGAATTTGTCACACACGCACATGCACACACACATGCACGTGAATTTGTAAATCTATCTGTGCTTGGTTACCCCAGAGCTTAAATACATGACCTTTTACACACTCTTTCACACAGATGCATTTGGAGAGAATCCCTAACTTGGCCTAGAGACAGAAAGGGAGGAGCAGAAATAAAAGACAATCAGTATCCTGTATTGAATACAGGATGTAGCAGTCTACATTGAAATATGGATGATCTTGCAACCCTAGCACTGGGGCCAGGGGCAAAAATGGGCAGAGCACTGAATACAAATGTTACCTTTGCACATTTGGTTTGTTTTTACACACACTCACCTACCCTTCTCTATGCTCCATCCAGTGAGTCAAGCAGCATTATCTGAGTTCAAGGACACATTTACAGCCAGGCAATAACACTCAAGGAGGATGTGGGGCAGGGCTAGTGAGGGGTGTGGCTGGTGGAAAAGGGGGCGTGACCTAGAGAGGTTACCAAGGGCCACAAAATAAATGAGATTTGTTTGGTCTGATCCCTCCTTCCATTGGCTTCCTGGGACTTCAGGGCCTCTGTGTTTATGCACCCATCCCCTCACTTCTGCCATGGACACCTCTACATCATGAGAACCAGTGTGGTGTAGTTGTTAAGAGTGTTGGGCAAGAACCTGGAAGCCTAGGGATAAAATCCCCACTTAGCCATGAAGCCCACTGGGTGACCATGGGCCAGCCACTGCCTCTTAGCTTACCCTACCTCACAGGGGGGGATTACCGTATTTTTCGCCCTATAAGACACACTTTTTCCCCTCCAAAAATGAAGGGGAAATGTGTGTGCGTCTTATGGGGCGAATGCAGGCTCCTTGGCTTCAGCGATAGCAACGCGAAGCCTCCGAAGCCTGCACTCCGGAGGCTTTGCGTTGCTTCTGCTGAAGCCAGGAGAGTCTGCTCTTTGAGGCTGGTGGTGGGGAAATCAGCGCTTCCCCCATCGCCAGCCCCAGAGGATGGGGGGCAGCAGGAAGGCGTGTGACGCCTTCCCGCTACTCTCCAACCCGGCTTCGAGGCTGGCGGGCAGCAGGAAGGCGCGTGACGCCTTCCCACTACTCTCCAACCCTCCTGTGGGCTTTTGCGGGAGATGGGGGAATTCCCCCACCTCCCGCAAAAGCAGGCAAAGCCGCACGCCTCTTTAAAGGGCTCGCGCGGCTCTGCTGGCTTTCTACCGGGGGGATCTCCCACCTCCTAGAAAAGCCTGCAGGAGCCGCGCACCCTTTAAAGAGCGCACCGCTCTTGGGGGCTTTTCCTCGAGGAGGGAAAAGGGACTGACTGGCCGTTTCAGTCCCTTCTCCCTCCTGGTCGAAAAGCCTGCAGGAGTCACGCTGGGCTCCTGTGGGCTTTTGCGGGAGGTGGGGGAATTCCGCCACCTCCCACAAAAGCAGGGAGAAGGTCTTGGAGTAGCGCACAGGCTGCGTGCAGCCTGTCCACTGCTCCCAGAGCTGCGGGGGGAAAATCATATTTTTTTACTTGATTTCCCCCCCTGAAAACTAGGTGCGTCCTATGGGCCGGTGCGTCCTATAGGGCGAAAAATACGGTGAATGGGGTGGGGGGTGGGGGAGAGAACCATGTACAGCATCTTCAGCTCCTTGGAGAAAAAGTGGGATATAAATTCAGCAAAATAATAATAATAATAATAATAATAATAATAATAATACTTTCTGGTTGAGAGTTAGGGTGGAACAGCCACTATTTATTTGAGAAGAGAGTCACAAGATCCCTGGTTCAAACTTTAGCTTCCCCAAATAAAAGAATAGGCAGTATTTCCCCCTGAGCTCCCAACTTACAACATGGAGGGTTAATCATCACATTCACTGACCTACCTTGCAGGGTTGTTGTGAACCTTACCAAAACAATACCTACAAAGCAACTTATCTATTCATTTATAGAAATATCTATATACACTGGTACCTCAGGTTACATACGCTTCAGGTTACAGACTCCGCTAATCCAGAAATAGTACCTCAGGTTAAGAACTTTGCTTCAGGATGAGAACAGAAATCATGTTCTGGCGGCGCGGCGGCAGTAGGAGGCCCCATTAGCTAAAGTGGTGCATCAGGTTAAGAACAGTTTCAGGTTACGAACAGACCTCCAGAACGAATTAAGTTTTTAACCCGAGGTACCACTGTACCTCTATGTCTCTATCTCATACACACACACACACAGAGAGAGAGAGAGAGAGAGAGAGAGAGAAAGGTATTGGCTTGCAGGGGGGGGTTTAACCTTCCTCCCCCTCACAGGGGATTTAAACACATACCTCACTTAATGGATGAATGAACTGACGAGTGAACAAACACAGAAGCGTCACAGAGCAGAAACTCTAGACTTGCCCATCCTGCCGCGATAATGACTACAAATCCCAGGAGCCTTTGGGAGCCGTGACAGTCAGACTAGTGCAAAGCCGATATGTAGACAAGTATCTTTTTTAAAATGAAAAGAAGGTGGAAGTAACTTTGGGATTCTGCCACATAAACACTGCAGGTGGATCAAATGCATAGCGAGATGAGGATGAAGCTGAAGGGTAGAGGGGGCTGGCAGTGAGGGGTGGGGGAGAGACTCTGCCTAAATCAGATTATGCAAAAGGCTTGCTTGGAGTAGAGGCAAGTGAAGAGGGAAGGAGGATAGGAATTCTTGAGGGGCGGAACGGCAGGGCCAAAAGGACAAGCGGCAAAATGAAATTAAGCAAAAACGAAGAGTTATGCTTGGCATGTCAGTTGCTGGGTGGATGGCGGGGAGGAAGCCATGAGAGCTAAATCTATTAGCTGGCAGAGCAGTCTCCTATGGGAAACTCCCAGCGGGAAAATGCTGGTAACTTGAGACACTGAAAGGGAACCTTGACAAAAAGTTCAGCAGTGGCACTGACTCCCTCGGGACGCTGTGGGCCCTCCTTCATTGGAGTGTTTTAAGTAGATGTTGGATGGCTACCTGTTGGGGATTCTTTGGCTGCAATCCCTACATAGAATCAATTCTGTGATTCTATGACCTTGGAAAGCGGTGGCCTCTCCTTCACTGGAGGTTTTTAAAGGGAGGTGAGATAGCCATCTGCCAGGGATTCTTTAGCTGTGGTTCATGCTTTGCAGGGGGTTGGACTAGATGACCCTTCCAACTCTACAAGCGCTATTATTCGGATCCCTGGCACTTTGCTGGGAGCCACCCAGAGGAGCCACTCCATCCCAGGAGACAGTGGATCAGAGGCTGGAAGGTGTAATGGAGGTGAACGGGGTGCTTTGCAGGAGAGGCTGTTCAGAAGCAGGTAAGGACACTTTAGCCTTTGTGCCACTGAGAAGAAAGGACTGACCGACCAGCTGCTGAAAAGGCCTCATTATCAGGCTATCTAGAAGCTTGCACAGGGACAATGGGCTCTATTTTTTATTTTTTATTTTTTTTAAAATCTTTTTTTAAGAAAAGGGGAAGAGAATAGCAGGGAGAGAGAACAGAAAGGGACAGGCTCCCCTGCCTGAGCAAACTAGGACCTTTCGCCTGCTTCTTGCCAGCTGCAGTCATTACTAGTGGGCCACCTCCTACCCTTCCAAGCCTCTGCCCTGGCCATGAAAGTGTCCCATCTATAGTTAATGATAGCAAATAGGTTGCCGTTCTAAGAAGAAAAAGAAATGGCAATGATTTTTTTTCTTAATGCAACCAACCTCTCTTGCTTGTGCATGGCAGAAAGAAAGAAAAGTGGAGGAGGAAGGGGGAATTGAAGAGCAAAGATCTGCCTGCCTGCGGGTAGGTTAGCCAGAGCTCCAGGTCTTTTTTCTTTTCGTCTTGTGAATAATTTTTATTTCATTCGATAACGTATATAAAAAGCAGAGAGAACAGCTGTAGCAACAGATGAAAATTAAAAGATGGAATACAAAAACCATAAAATTGAAGAATGAGTCCAGTTGCATGGAGGCGGAAAATAACAAAAGCCCAAGTAAAGAATATCAGCATTATTCTGATTATCAAGGATAGTGTTCTGTCTCTGCCAGGATTGTGATGAGGGTCATCTTGAAAATGATGGTTTCGCTGTACATGTAACGAAGGAGTGCCAAATCATATAATAATAATAATAAATGCCTGGAGGTTCTAGTCCCTGTCAAAATCTCAAAGGATGCATAATTTTCTCCATTATAACCACATTCCAGGGTGAGTGGTACCAAGATTTTGGGCTGTTTTCCATTACCACTCAGCTTGCGAGTATTGTTTATAAGAATTTCAGGTCCTACCTGAATTCTCCTGCTAGGGGGCTTGAAAATACAGGTGGGTGAGAGGGCCCTTAACAATTAAAAAAAATATATTAAGAGGACTGGGCATGCAGCTTGCAAGCTTCAGCTTGGCTTCAAATTATAGAACAGACCTTTGGGAGGGGACGGGGTTGCCCTCATCCCCTCTCCCAATCACATGCACTGCCTTTCCCCTGTGATTGAGGGCGCCAGGGCTATGCAATGTCAGCACACCCCATGGCACGTTGATGTCACTTGTGCATGCTACAGAGCATGCTGACATGTCGTGTGGACGCCCTCTGGCTTGCACATGTGATGTTAGCACGCCCTGCGGCTGTGCACACAGCTGACACAGAACTTTGGGGGGGGGTCCAGCCCCTTCATTGAAAATATTTGGGGAGCCCTGGCCCCCCAATCTCTACTTGCCATGCCTGCTCACAGTTAACCTCCATCTCCAGGGGCCTCCCCCATGACATCACTTGGGTCCCCATGCATGACCACCAGAGATTGTTCCTAGGTCTCAGGTTTGGGCCCTGGAATCGTGGGGTCTGGGATGCTGTTGACCTGGCAACCCTACCTGTGGGTGTTGCGGGGGGGGGGAGAGAGAAAGCTTGGATCTGGGCAGTTTGGAAGATGCCCCTCTTGCAAGGCATGGGTAGGCAAACTAAGGCCCGGGGGCCCGATCTGGCCAAATCACCTCCTAAATCTGGCCTATGGGCAGTCCGGGAATCAGCATGTTTTTACATTAGTAGAATGTGTGCTTTTATTTAAAATGCATCTCTGGGTTATTTGTGGGGCATAGGAATTCGTTCAATTTCCCCCCCAAAAAATATAGTCCGGCCTCCCACAAGGTCTGAGGGACAGTGGACTGGCCCCCTGCTGAAAAAGTTTGCTGACCCCTGCTGTAAGGGGATATTGCTTTGAGTAATCCTCCACATGGAGGATTACTGTAAAACAGGGACAGGGTACATCCAATGTGGCCCTCTGGATCTCTCTTTGACACTCTTATTATTCTCCCTAGACCACATTCCCAAGTCCTTCACAGTAATCGGTGCTGCTACAGACACAACGTAATCCCATACCCTCCAGCATTTGTCTGATGAAAATAGGTACGTCCCATTTCATAATGATAATTTTACTATTTATACCCCGCCATCTGACTGGGTTGCCCCAGCCACTCCGGGCAGGCTTCCAACATATATAAAAACATAATGAAACGTTAAACATTAAAAAAAAAACCCTTCCCTATACAGGATTGTCTTTAGATGGCTCAGGAGTCGGATAACTCCATACCGTCCAACATTTCTCCAATGAAAATAGGGACATCCTAAGGAAAAGTGGGACATTATGGGATCAAATCAGAAACTGGGACAGCTTCTCTAAATCAGGGACGTCCCTGGAAAATAGGGACAATTGGACGGTCTGTAATTCTCATTCAGCATTGTAAGGAATTGATCTTTTAATGTGGCAGAACCCACAACTTTGAAACTCCCTGCCTATTAACTCTGAGGAGTCCATGAGCCAATAATTGATGTCTGGAAGTAGAGAGGTCTCATTGGAGATCAGGGAAGGAGATGCAAGTTCTGGGGCCTGCAGCTCCAAATGGGATGGGTCAGGCAGTGGATCCATCTGCTCCTCAGGGCTGTTGTTGTCAGAGGACTCTGCCTCTGATGATTCCTGGTATGGGGACTACCACCCAAGTCCCTACAATTATCACCACTGTCTGTGAAAACCTTGCGAGAGAGTCCAGTGTTCATCCTCCCTCCCATGTTTCCTCCATTGCAATTGTTGGCATATGCAGTAAAAGTAATTAGGAGTCCCAATGCAAATTAGATTTGTTTTCTTTCTTTCTTTTTTTAAAAAGCAATGACAACAGCCAATGTCTGTTGCAAGAGATTAATTCCGTGGCTTAATTGAAAGTGCAAGAGCAAAACAGAGGGGGGAGGGGGGAAGGAGGGGAAATGAAATCTCTGAGTGTGAAGGACCAGCTTCTTCCTAAACTTCATTCATCTTTCTTGATTCCTAAAAGGGTTTCTGCAGCCACAGCTAAGTCAACCAAGACTATATCCCTCAGTTAAAGCAGGTAACCATTTACTGTCAATGTTGTGTCTGGTGACCGTGTTGCTTGGTTACTTATGCCTGCTGTGTTGCTCCTAAGCCTTTTTGTTGAGGGTGTGACTTCTGTGCCGTAAGCGGTTACAATTAATTGAGCAAAGAAGGTGGGGCAAATGGAAACACTAGGAATCCCCAAACTGGGTATTGAGGGGGCAGACAGGAAATACCTGCCCCACCCTCCAATGCACACACCTGGGTTTTCTGAACACCCCCCCCCCCGCAGCGGCCAGCCTAGTGGGGAACATAAGATTGTGAGAAAAGCCTGTCTGCTGGATCCTGTGGCTTACAACAACTAGTATTGCTGCCTCCAACTGTGGTGGCAGAGCAAAGCCACCATGGCTAGTAGACATTAATAGCCCTCTCATCCACGATTTTTTCTAATCCTCTTTTAAAGCTATCTAAGTTGGTAGCTGTCACTGCCTCCTGCAGGAGTGAGTTCCATGCGGTTTAACGATGCACTGTAAGCTGTACACTCTTTTATCTGTCCTGAATCTTCCAGCATTCACCTTCACAGGATGTTCATGTGTTATGCGGGATGTCCATTAGTGTTAGGGAGAAAAAACTTTCCTCTGTCCACTTTCTCCATGCCGTGCATAATTTTACAAACTTCTTTCATGTCGTCGTTTGCTTGTCTTTTCTCTAAGCTGTCTTTTATTCATCCTGGATCTTGCAACAGGGGATGTTCACGAGTTCTAGTCCTATGAGAGAAAGAGAAAAACATATCTCTATCTGTTCTCTCCATAGCATGTAAGACCCTTTCCTAAAATGCCTCTGCATGTTTTTAAAGAAGGCCTGAAGTCTCTGTTGCGCAGTGCTTGGGGATAGAATGGGGGGATGGACGGACAAAAAACCACCCTGCAAATCAACCAGAGAGAAACTGACCTCCACTAGCCAGTTGCAATAAATAGCACCTTAAAAGGGTCCATCAGTATTGTTGTGCACACCATATATCATATAAATCAATGATGGGCCTTCAGTCCTCATAAAGGGAACGCTGTCCACTTGTCACTGCCCCACTTCATTACTGAGCTGACGGTACAACAGTTTTCCTGTGTCCTTCTCCAGAACGCTTGCAGTGTCTCCTTGAATCTTGCCGAGAGGATGTCAAAATCCCTTAAGCAGCTCTGTTCCATTTTGTCTCCCTTATAGGAAGAACCTCTGCAGGAGGCTTATTTTTAAACCCTCCAATCTTTTAGACAAACATTTAGGCAGTTGGTGCAGTACATCAAGGGAAGAAAAGATGCGGCCGTCTAATGAGTCACACCACAGGTCCATCTGAGCTCCGTATTGACTACAATGACTGGCCAAGGCTCTCCAGGGTTTTCAGGTGGAGATCTTTTCCAACCCTGCCTGGAGATGCCATTGCATCTGGGATCTTCTGCATGCAAAACAGATCCTCTGCCCATGAGCTAAGGTCCTTCCCCTCAAAACAAAGTAAGCTTCTAGTCCTCAGTTTTTAAAATAAAGGGTAGAATGATATAGGGAGCTGGCTTATGTCAAGTTAGACAATTGGTCTATATTGTTCTGCATTGTCTCTACTGGCTGGCAGTCATTTTCCTGGATTTCATATAAGGAGTCTCCCCCCCAACTCTACCTGAAGATGCTGGAGTGGGGGGCAGGAATCAAACCTGGTGCTCTACCTTTGCCCCCAGATCTAGTAGTAATATAGTTTTGAAGGCATTATTAAAATCTTTCCTAAAGGCCAAATAGGGACAGTATGTTGCCAGTGACCATAAGTGTCTGCCATAAGAACCTAAGACCCTGATGGATAAATGGCCCATCTAGTCCAGCGCCCTGTTTTCACTGTGGCCAACCAGATGCCTCTTCTGGAAAACCCACAAGCAGGACCAGAACACAAGATCATTCTCCTCTTCTGTGGTTTCCAGCAACTTTTATAAGGAAGCATTTCTTCCTCGAGTTGTGGAGACAGAGCACAGTCACTTGCTCAGTCTTCTTTCAGTGTTCTGTAGAGTGTCAGACTAGGAACTGGGAGACCAAGAGTCAAATCCTTACTTGGCCATGAAGCTCAGTGTGTATGGCCTTGGGGCCAGTCACTGCCTCTCAGCCTAACCTACCTCACAGGGCTGTTGTGGGGGATTAAATGAGGAGGAGAAGAAGAACCAAGACACCACTTGGAGCAAGACATAAATAAAACAAACAAAGAAATATTTTGATAAACAGAGACACTTGATGTAGAATGGGATCCTGAAGAACAAGACACACCTGGTTTCCCCTAAACTAACAAGAACCAGTTTTCATTCCTGCAGCAGCCCAGCTGCTACTGCATCCTCCTCTCTTAATTCCTCCAACCTACCCCCCTCTTTCCTGAGGATGAAGGCAGATGCACTTGCAAGCAGCTAACACATGCAGATTCCCCGGGCTTCCACCTGGGACTGTTCAAAGCCAATTTTTTTTTTTGCAAAAACAATGGATTACCCAGCGTTTCAATCAATATTCTTCTGTGGTAGAACGAAAGAGAGAGAAAGAATGAGGGAGAGCTGGAGGCTTGGAGACAAGAAAAAAAATAACATTTGTGTTTGTGTGTGTGCGTGCGCGTGTGATGAGAACCAGGAGGGAGCAAGAGAATAAAGATGTAGGGTTGTTGATCACTGAAAAAAATGGGTTTTGTTTTCCTGTTGTTATAACAGTGATGTGTGTTCTCCCACCAAATTAAGTGCTGGGGGACAGGTTCCCCAAGGAACTTGGTGAATTCTGTCCCCTCCATAGGCCCCACCATTGCCTACAGATGGGTCTCTTGCTTCCCACCTCAAGGAATCCAGCAGAATACTGCCCCACCCCACTCCACTTGCCATTAATTGGAATTCAACAGAACACACATAAAAACTGGAATGAGAGCAAGAGAGAGCCGTATGGCACACAACCCCAGAGCAGTGAGAATTGTGTTCTTTTCCTAGGCGTTCGCTTAACCTTCCCCCCTCTTTTCCCTTTGTGTTCAATCTGAGCACCTCCTTTGGGTGGGCTAATGAAGACTCGAGGATGAGGAAAGGAACCCCTTGAACAACAGGGGGCAGTGGTTACAGGTGTGAGTACAAAAAGGGACCTTTGAGGAGGGTTGGTGCATATATCCAGGCCAGCGATGACTCTTATTTTGGCACTGGGTCAACAGGTTAAGAGGCCCAGAAATATTGGGAGGGTGTTCAAGTGGAGCAGGACCAACAGGAGGCCTAGGTGGAATTTAGGAATTGGGCGTCATAACACATCATCAGAAGTCCCCAGCAAGATGTCCTTGTAATAGTTCAGATACATGAGCTCTTCAGAAGGATGCCCCTTGTGCTAAGCTTTTGCTCAGGGTCTCATAATATGTAAGAAAAGTCTGCTGGATCAGGTCAGGGGGGACTCATCCAGTCCAGCATCCCATCCTCGTAGTGGCCGGCCAGATGCCCCAATGGGAAGCCCACAAGCAGGACCTGAGCATGACAGCAACTCTCACCACTTGTGATTCCCAGCAACTGGTATTTGGTGGTAGACTGCCCCTGGGCATGGAGGTTCTACTGGATTGGCCCATTATGAAAAGCACCTTCTAACTCTATGGTGCTGAGTGGACACAGCAAAGGAACTGGTGGAGTGGTGGCCACCTGGAACCTCAGATGGCTTTCCCTGGCCTTAAGTTCCTATCACGATCTATTCACAGGAGGGAGGATAAGACCTGCAAAATTCCAACACACAAGCCCAGATGTTGTGAACTGAAAAGCATTTGTCTTGATTTTTGATCCTCGGTAATGAAGGGACTGGATCAGTGTTTTTGTTTGGGAGGGCTTTCCCCCTCCCACCCCCATGTTTTCCATTCTCTTCTGCTTCGAATGAAGCTCACGAGGCTGTTTTGCATGCAAAGCTTCTGTCAGCTGCTCTACACTAGGGTCTAAGATCTTAGAAAGAGCTGCCCTTTCATTATTAATATTATTATGATGTCTGATGAGGTGTGTGTGTGCGGTGGCTGTTTGGTGGCTGTAATGGCATTTTTCCAAGAGAAGCGTGTTCCCCAACTCTGGGTGGGGGTGGGGGCCGGTGCGGATCTCAAAGCAGAAGGCACTGTTGTTTTTGCATCTCTCCTTTCTTCCAGTCTCATATATGCACAGCAGGAATATTGGGAAGGACGAGTACATTTGGTTTAGGGCAGATTAATGCCTCTGGGCCGTATCCAGAAAAATATGAACCACCGAAATTAATGAATCTAAGTTAGTCACACCCATTATTTTCAGTGGGCCTACTCTGAGAAGTACTAGCATAAAATAAATGATCCCCCCCCAGTACACAGTTAAACTATGGAACTCACTTCTTCAGGAAGCCGTGATGGCTATCAACCTAGATGGCTTTAAAAGAAGAATAGACAAATTCAAAGAGGACAAGGCTATTAATGGCTACTGGATGTGATGGCTTTGCTCTGCCTCCACAGCTAGACACAGAAATGCTTCTGAATACCAATTGCCGGAAACCACAGGAGGAGAGAGGGCTCTTGTGCTCAGGTCTTGCTTGTGGGTTTTCAACATAAGTTATCTGATCTGTTCTGAATCCTCCAACATTCAGCTTAATTGGATGTCCATGCATTCTAGATTAATGAGAGAAGGAGAATTTTTTTTCTCTGCCCACTTTCTCCTCGCCATGAATATTTTATAAACTTCTATCATGTCACCTCTTACCTTTTTTTCTAAACTAAAAAGCCCCAAGTGCTGCAAACGTTCCTCATAGGGGGGTTGCTCCATCCACTTGATCATTTGGTTGGCCCTTCCTGGGCCTTTTCAGACTCTACAATATCCATTTTGAGGTGAGGCAGCCAGAACTGTACACAACATCCTAAATGTGGTTGCACCATAGATTTCTCCCCCATCCCAGAGAAATGTTGCATAACGGTTCCCCATTGCCAATTTCTCTGCCAGAAAGAGTAGAGAGTTCTGAGAAGCCCTTTGAGCACAGCTGTTATTTAGAAATCCTTCATTGATGTCACTTATTTAAATTCCTGGTCCCCACATGCTCCCCGGCCAATAGAAACAATGCCACTACCGATTTTATGGATCAAGGAGACTACGAGATGTTTAATTTATTGTGTTCCCTTAAAAAAATGAAGATGAAAGTAGGCAAATAACAAATAACAACAGTTGCTTTCTGCAGGAGCTCTCCAAGGTCCTGAAAGAGGCCCACACCACGCTGTTTGGAACCCTACCTACTTTTGGGTCGCTGTGGCTGGAATGTGAAACGGTGTCGACTGAACTTTGTAACTGATGGACATAACTTAGTCATTTTCATTAATTTCGTAAGGACATGAGAAGAGTCCTGAGGGATTGGACCAAAGGCCCATCTAGTCCAGCATCTTCTTCTCACGGTGACCAACCAGATCTCCCAATGGGAAGCCCAAAAGCAGAACCTGAGCACAAGGGCACTCTCCCCTCCTGCTGCCTCCAGCTGTGGAAGTAGATTACAGCCATCATGGCTAATAGCCATTGATAGCCCTGTCCTCCATGAAGTTGTCCAATCACATCTGACCACCATCCAAGCTGGTGACCATTGCTGCCTCCTGTGAAGGCAACCCAAACTGAAATTTGAGAGGCATACAAAGCAAGGCAGGGCACCTCAGAGGCACAAAGCTTGAGTCCTCTCACCCTTGTTCTTGAATCTGCAGTGTGGCATATATGCGGAGTGGGTGGCAAGGAATGGATCGACACAAGCTCAAAGCATGATGGAACAACCCTTTAATTACTATTAAAGGGTTGTTCCATCATGCTTTGAGCTTGTGTCGATCCATTCCTTGCCACCCACTTGTGCCATTGTGAAATCGACTCCAATTTGCATTAAGTTCAATGCACAACAGTTAATATTTGTTCAGACTTGCTCCCTCAGGAGACAGTGATGGCTGGCAATCTATTATTATTTATTTATTATATTTGTACACCATCTTTCATCTGAAGAGCTCAGGGTGGTTCACAGCATAAAAATACAAAACATAAACCCAAACTATGTAATAAAAACAAGAACAAGAACAATACTCATTTTAAAGAAGATTAGACAAATTCATGGAGGAGAAGGCTATCAATGGCTATTAGCCCAGATGGTCAGGCTCCCCCTTCACAGTCAGAGGCAGAAATGCTTCTGAATAACAGTTTCTGGAAGCCACAGGAGGGGTGAGCACTGTGGCACCCAGGTCCCTTTTCAGGCTTTCCATTAAAGCATCTGCTTGACCCCTGTGAGAACAGGATGCTGGGCCACAAGGGCCATTGGCCTGCAGCAGACTTTTCTTATGTTCTTACATTTCTTGTATTCTTACACTCACAGACAAACAGTGAGCCCCACAAACAGAGTGCTTATTGCACTGGGCTATTGTGAGGATGGATGCCATCAGGATGTGAAAGAGCATTGCATATGAAAAGCGCTATAGAAATGATTAATAATAATAATAAAAGGCCATTTTCTTTTTGTCTTGGAAGAATAAAATGCCAACAAAAGAGAAGAAGCCAAGAAAAGTGTGTGTGTGTGTGTGTGTGTGTGTGTGTGTGTGTGTGTGTTTTTGTTTTTTTTGCAGTGCTCCCAACTTCGAAGAAGTGTAAAGGCGCATTGCAGGGAAAGTAAATGCCAACATTAATCTGTTACCAAGATGCTCAAGTTAAATCAAATGCCAGCCGATCCCTCCTTATTCGCCACCCTGCCCAAGTTTCCCAAACAAAAGTTGATGCTGATACAGACAACATCTTTGCAATCAACCAGTGGACACCTGCCTGTCATTCCAGAATCACTTTGAAATCCAGCATAAACAAAGACTATGTCTCCTCAGGTGTGCGGGTCAAAGATGGCCCTCTAGCCATCTTAGGTCTCTCCAAGCCCCACCTGGACATGCCAGTGGGGGTTGAATCTGGGACCTTCTGCATAGCAATCAAATGTTTTACCACTGAGCTAAGGTCCTTCCTCAATAATTTGTTTAATTTAAAATATGCTGCTTTGGGACTGATCCGCAGACCTTCTGCATGCCAAGCAGACCACTGAGCCTTCCCTACCTGTCTCCAGTATTGCAAGTTCCCTACTTCATATCCCACCTGCCCCTCCCTGCCACAGATGTGTCAAATGCTTTGGGTTTTACTGTCCGTCTGAATAACCTTTCCATTTGGCTTTAGAGTAATTTTCTTTTGAGAGTTGGGTGGGGAGTGGGGGGAAACCTGACCAGTCTGTCTGGGAGACAAAGGATGAAATAAAGTAAAACAAATAAAAAAGTCCCGTTCTCCCCCCCAGCATTTTTGTGTGTGTTTTAAAGAATATATTAAAAATAAATAAAACCAAGCCAGCAATCTTCCAAGCCTCAGTGCTAAGGTCCCTTGTGAACAATTAAGGAACAGAGAAGCTGTATGAATCCTAGCTAACTCTGAAGATGCAGAGGATCAGGGTGCTATTAGGAGAGTTCTACAGCCGCTTCCAAAAAACCCTCAACGCAATCCCAGATGTTAATGAACGATTCATTTCTCTGCTGGATGTTCAGAAGAGTGTTTGGGTGACGTCCAGGGTTCATAATGAAGACAGAGCCTCTGCATATTTATTTCTCTGTTGGAGTGTATATTTAGTCTCTGCCAAATGACAGAAATTCTCAAGGTGGTTTACAATCTACAAGAAGATAGACAGGAGTCAATATAGAGGGGCAAAGACAGATGCAGGTCCCCACTGCCTCACCCAGATGTTCCAGCTTCTGCTTCACTTCTAAAACAGGATTGTAGAAGAAGGAATGGTTGCTGTAGAGGCTGGATAGTGGTCCTTTGTGGGGATCCTTCAACCTGTGGAACTGGTACTGTTACAGGTGCCCCATAACAGCTGTACTGCATTTGTAAGAAATCAATCTTTATGCATGGTAGCACCATATTGACACCAGACAGGTGCCTTCAATGTTCTTTTTTTGCCAACAAACAACTAAAAACATTTTTGTTTAGACAAGCCTACCAAGACATGTAGAACACTGATGTATGTTTTAATCTGTGTTTAGTTTATTGCTGATTTTATCTTTCGAATGTTTTATGGAGTGTTTTCCCCACTGATAATCTTATTGTTTTATTCTCTTTGCAAACTGCTTTGAGGTTGTTGGGTCCACTCTTATGCCCCGATTAAGCAAGGTATAAATTTAGTGAGATAAATAAATAGTTCCTGCACTGTGCTTGGGCACCATTTGTTCAAAACACAGCAGCAGCAGCAGCAACAACAACAACAACGCCTTTGTGTATGTGTGTCTGTCATATGTTGCCAAAATCTTTCCCTTTCCGCCGGCTGCTGCTTTCTCCAGGGAACCCCAGCAATGTGAATTGAAACACACTTATGCAGGAGAGAGAACGACTGTCTGCGTGCTCCCAGTTGACAAAACTCTGCCAAGAGGGAAAGGCAGAGAGAGTATTTTATTAGCTGGGTCCAGGAAGTCTGGACAATTACTGCGGGGATCAGTCTGCACCTCCCCCCCATGTTGTTCCATCAGCAGCAGCAAGCGGAGTTACATCCAGGAACGCTGGTTGGGGTATATTCTGCATGACAGCAGCATCTAAGATGTACAACGGACACCTCAGCCAACTGCCTCCAAAGATATCTCTTTTAAAAGAAAGGATGGTGGGATCAATCCTGATGGGCATCATTTCCACACGCTAGGCCTGAAACTCTTTTAAATGCCCACCAGAGAAGAGTAAGGACAATTAAACCTATCTGTATTTGTCAAAAACTAAACTCCCTTGAAGGAACTTCAAAATTCCACCACCAGGGAAGCAGAACTGACTTGCTCTCTCTTACATTGTTGGATGTAGGGTGCAATCCTGTACTTAAAAGACTCACTGCCTGATGTAAGAACATAAGAATAGCCTGCTAGATCAGGCCATTGCTTGTCTAGTCCAGCATCCTGTTCTCACAGTGGCAACGCGGCTGCCTGCGGGGAAACCTGCAAGCAGGATCTGAGCACAAGAGCAGCACTCTCCTCCCCTGCGGTTTCCAGAAGCTAGTGTTTGGAAGAATTGCTGCCTCCAGCTAGACAGAGCACAGCCATTGTGGCTAGTAGCCACAGACAGCCCTCTCCTCCATTAATTTGTCCAATCTTCTTTTCAAGCCATCTAGGTTGGCTGACGGGACGCGGGTGGCACTGTGGTCTAAACCACAGAGCCTAGGGCTTGCCGATCTGAGGCAGTTTGAATCCCCGTGACGGGGTGAGCTCCAGTTGCTTGATCCCGGCTCCTGCCAACCTAGCAGTTTGAAAGCACGAAGTGCAAGTAGATAAACAGGTACCGCTCCGGCAGGAAGGTAAACGGCGTTTCCGTGTGCTGCTCTGGTTTGTCAGAAGCGGCTTAGTCATGCTGGCCACATGACCCAGAAGGTGTCTGCAGACAAACGCTGGCTCCTGCGGCCATAAAGCAAGACGAGCACCACAACTCCCGAGTCGTCTGTGACTGGACTTAATGGTCAGGGGTCCCTTTACCTTTACTAGGTTGGCTGACATCCCTGCCTCATGTGGGATCGAGTTCCATCATTTATGCACTGTGTGAAGAAGCCCTTTCCGACTGAAGGGTAGTGAGATGCCGGCATGATAGATATCTCCTCTAATATACAGTGGTACCGCAGGTTACATACGCTTCAGGTTACATTCGCTTCAGGTTACAGACTTCACTAACCTAGATATAGTGCTTCAGGTTAAGAACTTTGCTTCAGGATGAGAATAGAAATCGTGCTCCGGTGGCGCGGCGGCAGCAGGAGGCCCCATTAGCTAAAGTGGTGCTTCAGGTTAAGAACAGTTTCAGGTTAAGAACGGACCTCCAGAACGAATTAAGTACTTAACCCGAGGTACCACTGTATTGGTGCATTGGTGGAGCAGCCTCACCATGAGGAAACATGAAAACATGGATGGGATGGGGTGACAGGGGAAAAAAGAGTACACTTACACCAAATCCCATTGTCATGCTTTGCTTTACACCAACCTCAGGACTAAATGTATGGGGTTTCTTTCTATTGACTTCACAGGTGATGCACAATGGCAGATGTCCAGTCGTATTTAAGACGTATTACAGTTGGAGAGTCACCTTACCCCACATATTGTCACTCAGCCACTTTGATCTGCAGAACTGGCACTTTTCTGAGTGCAAAATAATATTTGTTCAGTGCTTGCAAGGCACCAATCTTTTAGTGTGGCACCCTGGAACTCCTTGCCTATTGACAGGTGCCTTCCCTGTATTCTTTTTCAGCACCTGCTAAAAGCTTTTCTGTTTAGGCTAGCCTACCTAGACAGGTACAGTTCACATACCTTTTAACCTATAATATTAACTTATCATGCATAATTTTAACTGTTGGTTTTATTCATTTTGCCTGTGTGTGTGTGTGTGTGTGTGTGTGTGTGGCCTTGTTTTTAGCATTGATTTGTAGTGGCACTTTGCATGCACATTTCATATTCTTTGTGAACCCCTTTGAAGTTTTATTTACAGGGATTCATTTTTTTTCTTCCAAGGACCTGAAGGTGGAATACATGGTTCTTCCTTTCTCCTCATTTAATCCCCACAACAACCCTGTGAGGTAGGATGCATGCAGAAGGTCCCGGGTTTCAATCCTCAGCATCTCTGCATAGAATGGTTTCACTCTGTGGATCTGCTCCCAGACAAGGTAGACATCACTGGCCCAGATGGACAAATGAGACGACTCCATGGAAAGTAGATCCATGCATTGCAAAGCAATCAAGAGAGATGGTCATAAGCAGGGATAGTGATTTAGGGAAATTTGATTTAGGTTGGATTTAGAGCTGATCCTATCAAATTAGCAGTTTCCAAGAGAGTTGAACCCAGCCATCCTTAAAATTCTTACCCAAATTCTTAAAAACTTACCTAAATTTTGTGATGTTGTTTTCCAGCTGAAAATATTATGAGGAAATGTGCCCCGAAATGAAAATAACATACAAAAATGTGAAAATAAGTGAAAATAACATACAAAAATGCATTATATTAGTGAAAATAACATACAAAAATGCATTATATTAAGAGAATTTGCTTACAGAAATATGCACGTGGGTCAAAAGTACATACAAAAATATGTTTATCAAGAGAACCTCGCACAAAATGCTGAAGAGTTTCCAGGAAGATTTTTTTAATTGGAAATTGCTCCGGAAATGTGAAGAATGGTGAGCCTGAAAGACATTTGACTCAGCCTGATGCTCTTGACCATCCTAGGAAAACAAGTGATCAGTGCACAAATGGATACCAGTATACACTACTGTTCACACCTATCTGTAGCACACAAGCTGCTTTGAGCTCTTTGGAGAAAAAGGTGAAATATAAATGCAAAAAATAAATAAACAATAGCATTGGGTAGAATTGGGTGAACAGTTATGTGGGACGGTCCCTGCGTCTAGGGACAGTCCACTATGTGGTTGGGGCTCAGGCCATATGAAAGACTGTATCTCACTTTGTGAGCCTGTCTGGGTGCTGTGGTCCTCAGGTGGGTACTTGCTCTCAGTCTCATCAACATCAGACACACAAGAGAGAGAGAGAGAGACAGACAGACAGACAGACAGACAGACACTCTTCTGTGGCTTCTCCCTTATTGTGGGATCCCCTCCCAAGAGACGTAAGACTGGCTGCCTCTTTGCTTTCCTTTTGCTGGCAGGCAAAGACCTTCCTGTTCAGACAGACCTTTGGAAACTAAGGTGCAGGTGACGCTGATCACTGGGCTGCTGTCAGAGCAAAGTGGATTTGAATGGCTGGCTCTCAATATGTCTGCATGTATTTTAATTACTGGTCTTAACTACTCAGCTTTTATTACCGTACTTCATATTACTTCATAACGGCATTTTTAAATGTTGGAAGCCTACTTGAATCCAAGCTTGGGAAGAAAGGATATGGATGATGATGATGATGATGATATCACACACAGATTTCACCTTGAAATTCAAGTTTCAGACTCAAAGTGAAAATTTCACATGCAAAATACTAATGGCAAATGTGTTTCAGCCACATCTGAATCTTGGGATCCAACTTGGTCTCAAACCCCATCCTGGAACGGGAAGCCACAATGCTGCCACAACTCTCTCCATGTTTAGGTGGCGCATTTGTTCAACCGCCGTGGGAGCAGAAACCAAGAGCGCTCCCCTTTCCAATTTTCGCTGCTCAATCCTCCCTTTATTGCAGCTTTCATCCTGTCATACCTGCTGATTGTTGACAGAGCAAAAGTAGAAGACCTAAAAAAACAAAACAAAACAAAACAAAATCAATTCCATCAGTTGGCCCTGCTCTCCTTTCTTCCTCCTCCTCCTCCTCTCACCATCACCATCTCCCTCCCCCACTGCTATTGTATTATGGGTTTATGTCAAGGTATGTTAGGTGCTAAATTAAACGTCAACCCAACTGTACGTTCTTGGGCTCCGGCAGGAGAAAATGAGTTGCCGGACTTGGAAAAGATCCAGTGTGCTCGGCTCAGCAGGCTGAATGCCGCGGCGTGACAGGCCCACTGAATCACTCCCCCTGCAGATTTCCAGGGCTGCGTGAAGCCAAGACAAATTTATTTTTAATGGTAAATTTTATTGTCAGAGTTAAGTCGAAACAGCTTCGAGAGAAGCAAGCCCCCCAGCTGTTTTGAAAGACGGTGGGGTGAGGCTCTTGTCAGGGGCCGGGAGTCTGCCAGGGATGAAATGAGCTGGACCAAACTCCATAGAAGATGGTGACTACCGATACAGCCTGCTCTGAATGTATGAAGGGATCCACCAGCTGCAAGACAACCCTCCCCCCACCTTGTTTATGCATTTAATCTTATTGTGGATAACAAAAGTGAACTGTGGAAATAAAGCACCACAGAGAGAGGCTGTTCCATTTGGGTGAACAGGGGACTGCTCCCTGCCCCCCCCTTCTCCAGTCTGCGGTCAGCAAGATCCCACCTGCCCGCCCTCTTACTTACAACTGATTGGAGTGTGGCTCTGCCTGTCATTGGCTCTGGCAACACCTGCTGTTGATCTTCCTGCCTTCTGCCCTACCAGAGGAGGCTGGTCCATGAGGGCAAATGGGGCAGTGACCCACCAACCTCAGTCTCCCTTCAGCCAGCTCCCACCCAATCTCCTTTCATATTTACAACTAATCCAGGAGGTTGTGCCATCTCCTTCCTCCTCAGCCTCTGTGTTTCCCCTTGTAGAACTCAACAGGGAAGAGGACAAAGCCGGCTTTCTCCGTATAACGCATTTCAATATTCTCATAGTCTTCAGGCCAAGATGGGTAGTCAGTGGATTTTAAATATCTGTTTGGGTGTATTCTGCATGAAAAACACTTCATGCATGCTCAGAGGCCCGACAGCAGCCAAGTTAATGCATGAAAAAAGAACAAAGGTGTATGAAAATGCAGACAATAGGAAACAGAATCTACTAAATTGCATTATATTAGGGAAATGTATATATTAGGAGAGGCTTACACTAAAATGCTGATGATTTTTTTAAGAAAGAATCTTCAAACTGAAGTGGAAAGTTGGAGAACTGAACTTAAGATTCTACTCTTAAAACTCTAGATAATGGAAAGGGAGAATGGTAGATCAGCCAGCTCCCCCTATCGCCCTTCTTGCAGGGTGCAAAGCCCCTTGTGGTGAGGACTTTCGCCAGCCAACAGTAGGGGCTGAACAGGAAGAGGTGATAGCAGAGCTGGAGTCAGAGGGGCAGGACTTGATTTTGTCACCAGGAACCATTCTTGACTTCCACAGATGGGATCAGATGCACCAGCAGAGTGTGTGTTTGCCCCCATAGCAGTCTCATAAGGCAAGAGAGTCCCATAGCTTTAGACATTCGGCAGGAGGGGCATGAAAATCTGTGGGGCATCTTCATCACTTTCATTCAGCCCTGCCTCTCTGTCTAGAAAGTGGATAAAGAAAACTCATGCTTAACACTAGAATTTGTGGACATCCAATGAAGCTGAATGTTGGAAGACTCAAGGCAGATTAAAGAAAGCCCTTCTTCACACAGTGCATAGCTAACCTACAGAACTCATTCTCATTGGCAGGGGGTTGGACTCGATGGCCCTTGTGGTCTCTTCCAACTCTATGATTCTATGATTCTCACAGCAGTGATGGCTACCAACCTAGATGACCTTAAAAGAGGATTAGGCAAACTTAGGGAGGACAAAGCACAGTTGGAGGCAAAAATGTTTCTGAATTCCAGTTGCTGGAGACAAGGAGAGAATGCTCTTGTGTCCAAATCTTGCTTGAGGGCTTCCCATAGTGGGCATCTGGTTGGCCACTGTGGGACCAGGATGCTGGCCTAGATGGGCCATTGAGCAGACTCTTCTCATGTCATTATGTCTATATTGGAATTGTGACTTCTGAACCTTGTGCTCACTGCTGAGCCTATCCTGTCATTTGCCTGATTGAAGATCTCTTCCTAACCCTCTCCAGTAAGAGCCACCATTGTTGTGTTTGAGGACGGGAGGGTAGAGGCCTTCCCAAATTGGGGAAACAAATACCCCTTCCCTAATTCCTTCCCCCAAATGTCCCACCAGGCTAAGAACAAAGAGCTAGAAACATGCCTGGCTATAATTTTGCTATTGTGCTGGGGGTAGGTAGCTCCAGGGATGTCCCCCCCCCCAAGCCACTGTAATGTCTTTTTCCATGCCCTTACTGCATCCTGACCATCTGGTTCTTTTTCTCTGGGGCACGAACACACTGGGAAATGGGGAGGGTTAATGTACCAAGAGGAGGCCAGCTCTCCTGTTCTTTGAGCTTCATTAAAGGTCCTTCAAGCCATGAAGAAAACAAAAAACCAGTGGCATTCTGGGGCCACCCAATACTCACAAGGCCTTCAAATGTCTCTGGGTTGGATCCAGCATTACTTCTCTCTATATGCATCATTAATGATGAGCAGGGAAATGGAGAGATGTGGAGGAAAGAGGCAACAACGTGGATGTTTGTGGTAGTGGAATGGTCACATATGTAGGGGGCAAAGAGGGCTGTGGCTCAGTAATAGAACACCTGCTTTGTAGGCAGAAGGTCCCAGGTTCAATCCCCCAGTGGCATCTCCAGGTTGTGCTGGGAGAGACTGCTCTCTGAAATACCAGAGAGCTGCTGCCAGAATTATATGGACCAATGGGTTTTTAACCTGTGTTTGCATACTATCCAAAATGCATATGTATCCTGTACTTTTCTGTAAAATATTACTGTCTGAGTCATCATTTCTCAACCCAGCCTCACACCGGTTGTAGTTCTTAAGCTTTTTCTAATTCATCCCTAGCCAAGGTGTGAACACCTCTGCGTAGGGCGAAGACATTCCCACCCTGTCAATGCCCCCTGGTGTGTAGGCAAATGGAAACAAATCTGACACTAATGAAGCCATGCTGATGTGAACAGTTTCCCTGTGTTCAGTGTGCTTCAAGGCACTTTGCTGTGCTTCAGCACAGTAAGGTGAACACTCCCTTGCATAAAGCAAATGTTACTGCACACTTTCCAGGGTGTTCTCCTGTCTCGTTCCATATCGCAAGAAGTCAGATCTTTTTGGGAAGCTGGTTTGTCACGCAAGATCTCCTGACAGACTCTAATTGTGCAATGTGAATTTGTCAGCACATGACTGAATCCTACCTAGAAACAGTGGCAGCCTGGAAGCACACTGAGTTATTTGCCTGCCTTGTGGGTGAGACCCTGACATGTTTTGCAGGGTTTTTGGGCCAGAAACGCACAATCATGTGTCCCAGGAGACCATCTTGAGGCATCTACAATAAGGAAGCAATTGCAGAGATTCTTTCTTTCTTTCTTTCTTTCTTTCTTTCTTTCTTTCTTTCTTTTGTCTCTCTCCCTCCCTCTCCCTCCATCTCTTATTGGCTGCCAGCATCTAAGGAAGGAGTAAAAAATGACACGCAGTTGCAACTAACTGTCTAAATCTGCAATGCTGTACAATTAATTAGCGTGGGGCGTGCGGAAGGACAGCTTGCAATGATTCTGGGAGCTGGGAGGCCTCTTTTAGCTCTCTTGGAAAAGCCACCCGGAATCAGCCAGCTGTGAGGGGCTAATGAAACACAGAGGATCTCCTCTCCCTAATTCTGCACACCCTTCAATGGCTCCATCTCATTTACAAGCCCCTGGTCCTTCCCACTGCTGTGTGTCCGATCTCACCTGTGATTATTATTGTTATCCAGGTCAGAGGATTCTGCCCAAGGCAAAATGTCACTGCAACTTGGACAGTGCAGAATTCAGAGGGGAGGAGGGGAAGGGGAACATGTGAGTAGTTATAGAAACCATTCTACTGTACTGTTACGTGCCACCCTAATCTCCAAGTTCCAGGCACTTACCCAGGATTTAGTTTCCTTGGAATGAACATGAGTGGAGACTGTGGTATCCTTAGGATATATGGTCAAATATGCACATAAATATGGGACGCAGGTGGCGCTGTGGGTTAAACCACAGAGCCTAGGACTTGCTGATCAGAAGGTCGGCGGTTCGAATCCCCACAACGGGGTGAGCTCCCGTTGCTTGGTCCCTGCTCCTGCCAACCTAGCAGTTCGAAAGCATGAAGTGCAAGTAGATAAATAGGTACCGTTCTGGTGGGAAGGTAAATGGCATTTCCGTGCACTGCTCTGATTTGCCAGAAGCGGCTTAGTCATGCTGGCCACATGACCCAGAAGCTGTACACCAGCTCCCTCAGCCAGTAAAGTGAGATGAGCACTGCAACCCCAGAGTCGTTCGCAACTGGACCTAAGGTCAGGGGTCCCTTTACCCTTTACCTTTATTCACATATATACAACCTGAGCATAAAGTGGAAGGGCTCACAGCATTCACCCCCAACAGATCTTGCTTTTCCATTAGTCACAGCTTTGGATCCAGCACAGAGCAAGCATGGCTCTGTGTCTCCAGCTCACATCCTGCTTCCAGCTCAGCTCTCACACACCACACTGGCTCTTGTACTCCTAGGTGAGGCAGGTGGAGGAAAGACCCATCCAACCTAGAGGGCACCATCATTTAGCTGTAGCTCTTGCAGCTGAGCTCCTTCTTTTGGGATGCTGATGAGGACACTTAGTGGGCATGTATCACAAAGAAACCTGCCTGACTGCTTCAGCAAACTCCTTTGTCAGATTCTAATGTCACTCAGTACAGGACCCCGATAATCAGAAGGTACTCAGGGCATCATCCAGGCTGCCCCACCCCACAACCTGCAACAGTACAAAGATAATATTTGCATGCATTTCTACCTCCCACTTTTGCTTCTGGCCCTACCCATCACTGACATGTGGCCTTTGGGAGCTTGCCTAGAAAGGAAAGGCTGGAAAAGGCCCTGCCTTGCACCATCGTGGCCTTCGGGCTGCACACTGTCAGACACAGGATGTTCATTTAGATAAATCTTTTGGTAGGACCCAATAAGCTGATCCCTGTGCCCCTATTGTTTCTGTAGCCAGTGCTATGGGAGATTCTGGCCCATCCCTCCTGGGTGTGTCTGTCTGTCCAGGCAGGGTAGGGACCTGGAGCCAGAGAAACTGCCAGGCTGAGCACAGCAAGGCAGGCTGGTAAGGGGCTCCAGATCCAACATCAAAAGCCAGTGACAAGTAGAGCCAACTACCGGTAATTCTCTTTTTGCCCTCCTCCTTGCTGAGTTCTGCAAGCACCAATGCTAAGACTAAGGAGGAGCCAGTTGTTAGGCAGGACCACCGTCCTGGACTAGTTGTAGGAGGAAGGGAAGTTGTAGCTGGCTGAGGGCAAGCTGAGGTTGGTGGGGCAGTGTTCCATCCACCCTCCTGGGCGAAGCTTCCACAGCTCAGCTCAGAGGCAAGCTGCCCAGACATTTTACAGATTGGGGTAAAACAGAAAATGTCAACCTCAACGGCCTCCTTCTCTGCTCCCCTTCCCTTTTTACAACCTCCTCTGCAGATCCCCCCACAAACACACTGAGGGCAGTGGAGGGTTAAAAGGAGGCTGGGGAGGGACAGACAGCAGCAATGAGGGTGTGCCTTAGAGGCTAGATCTCCACCTGAGGAGACTGCTTCATCATGTCTCATGGTCGGGCCAGCACTGCTGCCAAGGCTCCTTTCCTCAGAGAAGGAGCTTCCTTCTGCTACCTCAGTTTAGCTGGGGGGGGGGGGTCCTTTGCCACAGACACTTGTTTTCTGGAGTTTGCTGAGCTCTGCATGGAGAACACCCCCCCCCCCCCAATCTGCAGCCATCTATGCAGAGTGTCAAATCCTGGCAGAATCAGATTGCTATTTTTTTTCTTTGGGGTAGGGGTCAGGGAATGCAGGTGGGAAAGAAAACAGGTTCTGGTCAGATGGAGCAGGAAGCTTAACTTGATTGACAGCACTGAAATCTGCTGCCAATTAAGAAACTCATACCTGCTTGCCAAGGCTGAGATTGGAACGCATTCTTTTATCCTCACCCCATTGCATTAGGAAGAAAAACGAACAAGTGAGCCTTGTGAGTAAGTGGTGCAATAGCCAAAACGTACCTGCCATGAATAGTCAGGACATGCTGCAGCTCTGCAGAAGTACTGTGAAAGCACAAAAGGTTGCATTGGCCTCAGAATCCAGCTTACTGGCTTTTTGAACAAAACCAGCACCAAGTTTCTAGTCCTTGTGGGTGCAAGAAATGCAAAGGCAATGCTTAGAGTCATCACAAAAGCAGTCTGGGTGGCTGAGGCAAGTTTTTCTCAGTGGGGGGGGGGAGGGGGAGAGACCTCCTAGTTAAATGTAGCAGGAATGGAGAGCCATTGGCCCTCCTGTTGTTGCTGGACTACAATTCCCATCAGCCCCAGCAAGTATGGCCAATGACCAGAGATGATGGGAGTTATCATTCAGCAACATCTGTAAGGCCATAGGTTCTCCACACTAAACGTATTACTTTGCCCTCCAGATGTTTTGAGACTACAATTCCCATGATCCCTAGCTAGAAGGACCAATGGTCAGGGATGATGGGAATTGTAGTCTCAAACATCTGGAGGGCCGAGGTTGAGGAAGCGTGTGCTAGATTATGCAAAATATGGTATGTGTGTTTTTTAAAAAGATCATGCAAAACAAGAGAGAACAGGCATGTTTGCATGATTTATACAGGTTGCAGGATTATATTTATTGTTGTTCTTTTTATACTGAGTTTTTTTGGGATGTATTATTTGAATGAGAAGTGTTATAAAAATATTTTACATGAGGAATGCCTTCCTTACTTTAGTATTGCTGGAGGAGACCCTCTGATTAATGGAAGTAATTCAAGTTGATTAAGTGGCTAATGCAAGTTGATTAAGTGGCAATTTCTTGACATGTTCTGGAAGTCCAGGAACATGCATTTTTCTAATGGAAATCACACCCAGAAGCTGCACACATAAATCTTTCTTTTCGTCTTTCTAGGGCAGCAGTTTTCAAGATGGTCCTGTGGAAATTTATTTGAGTTTTCCTCAATGAGACAATAATTAATGGCAGAAAATGCCCCTCAGAGAGAGCTTGTCCCTCAACAACCAACCTTTCCACTATTATTATCTTAAATAATTTAAATCTCACCCTAACCTGTGCAATGTGCATGCAGCTCTGCAATGGTTACAGTAAAATGAAACTCTACTGTAGACCCAGGGGCAGTCTACCAGGTACTTGGGGAAAAACCCAGGAAAGCTTGTGTTGCCTCCATGCCTTGCTTGCAAACTTCCCAAAACACATCTGATTGGCCACTGTAAAAAACAAGTGTTCTGGGCCAAGGTGGATTGAATGAGGCTCTTAGGTTCTTATGGGCCACATCGGGGGTAGTGAAACCTCCATGTGCAGGAGCAATCCACCTCTGAATAGCACTTGTGCAGGGACATTCATTCATTTCATTTATTGCATTTCTATCCCACCTTTTTCTTCAAGGAGTTCAAGGCGGTGTATGTTGTCTGCCCGCCTTTCCTCAGTTAATCCCCACAACAACCCTGTGAGGTAAGTTAGTCTGAGAGCCAGTGCCTGGCCCAAGATCACACAGCGAGCTTCATGGCCAAGTGCGGAATTTTAACCCTAGTTTCCCAGGTCCCAGTCCAAACCTCTAACTACTGCAGTGGACAGCCACTCATTTTTAACCTGCTCTATCTTGAAGGGTGGTTGTGAGAATGAAATGGGTGAGTGAGATGAGGAGAACCATAGACACTGCCCTGAGTTCTTTGAAGGAAGAAAAGGAAGAAAATTAAACAAATTTCTGTAGTGTGTGTGTGTGTGTGTGTGTGTGTGTGAGAGAGAGAGAGAGAGAGAGAGAGAGAGAGAGAGAGAATACCCAGGCAAGCTTAATTCTTTTTCCTCTCAAATGGCCAATTCACTCACATAGTGTAGATTAGTTATAACTTAAATCAGTGGTGCAGTTAGGTAATTTTAGACCCTGGATTTAATGGTCCTCCAGCCTACCCACCCTCTTTAGATGCTAATGTACATTGTTTCTCAGTGGAACATAGGAATCTGCCTCATACTGTCAGCCCGCTTACCTACCTAGCTCAGAATTGTTTACACTGACTGGCAGCGGCTCCCCAGGGTTACAGAATGAGATTCCTCTGACCCTGCCTGGAGATTCCGTGCAGGCAGGCGTTCTGCCTGGCCACAACTGGCTGTCCAAAGCCTCGTAGCGCAGCGGAGCCGGCATGTGAAACGCTTCGCCTTGCTGGCTGTTTTCTGCCCTCAAGGAGCGCGCGACTGAAGCAGCTCCCTCATGAAGCCTGGCGGCTAGAGGGGCCAGGAAAAATGTAACCGTGCACAGGAGCCAACTCCTAGGGGCCGTGGGGGGCTTCGGCCCCCGCAATAAAATATTTGAGGCAACAAAGTTGATGGACATTCCCATTCAATTAGTCTGTGTGCACTGCATCATGTGATCGATTACGCAGGGCGGGACTTACCTGGGCCCCCACAATATTTTATTCAAATTGGCACCCTATAACCGTGTGGTGTGGTGGGGCGGGGGGGAAGGTTCCTATCTACCCCACCCCACCCTGCCCATTCATGCACAGCAGGCGTCGCTTGAGGGCGCCCTGTTCAGGTGCGGAAGGAAGGAAGCTGCACGTGTGAACACAGCCCGAAGCCAAGCAGGTTGCAGAGCGGTGGGTAAAGGGGAGAAAAAGAGAGTTGCGACTGAGGAGCGGTTAGAAGATAGGACACGTTTTCATTAACAACTTTCTGGTGTGTACTTATGTGTGTGTGAACGCCTCCCTTCCTGTATGTAAACGAGTGAATGTGTGTTTCCATCTTCTGGGAGTGCTGGTTCCCCTGGGGAGAGAAGGAATAGAGCCTGCTGCATTATTATCATTAGTAATATTAACATTACTTTCTGTAGTATTCGTAGTAATAGTAGCATCCGTGATATCGATAGTAACAGCAATACTAGTATGTATACTAGTAATAGTAGTATAGTAGCACTAAGCTATACAATACTATGCTACTAGTAGTAGTATCGTAGCTTAACAATTATTATAACGCGCGGAGGTGCGGAAGGCGATCGCTTCGCTACGCGTCTCCAAGTTCACACGCGCAAGAAACTCCTGCCAGCCTGACGCGCGCGCGCGGAGGAACCTCGCGTCTCGGCACCCCCACACCTCATCCCGCCGCGCTGCCTGCTTCGGCTTTCCCTAAGCGGCAGAAGTGCCGCGAGCTTCGGCCAGACAGCTTCAGTACCCGCTCCCACCCCTCAACATACGCACGCGCGCGCGCCCCACCATCAGCATTCCCAAGAGGGGAAGTTTTCTCTAGGTGGGTCATCACCACCGCCTCCCTTTCCTTCCTTCCTTCCTTCCTTCCTTCTTTCCTCCCTCAAGCAGCCCTTCATTACCCCCCCCCCCGCCACGCACGCACATCCTTCCTGCAAAAGTGGGCTTGTTTTGTCTAGCCAAAAAGAGAAAGAAGAGGGGATTGCCTGGAAACGCAGAGAGAGAGATTCCCCCTCAGTTTCTTGCAGATGCGGCAGGTCCCTCCCCGTCCCCGCTCCAAATCTTCCTGAGATCCTGGCAGAAAGAGAGCGAGGGAGGAGGGAGGGAGGGAGGGGGGGAGAGCGAGCGAGCGAGCAAGCGAGCGAGCGCAGGTAAAAGGATCTGCTAAGCTAGAGGAAGGAACCTCAAGACCCCACCAGGAGGCAAAATTGCTCTGTGCGTTTTCCTATCCAGCCCTTTTCTCTTCCCAGCGCTTGGGAAGCAACCCTTTGCCTGTCTTCTTCCTGCTTCTCCTTTGGAACTCTTTTTGGTGGGCGGGGTGGGGGTGGTGGGAGAGAGACTCTCTCCATCACACCCCCTTGGGTACCACTTTGGAGTTGCGGCATCACCGGGGCGACTCTCAGTTGCGTTTGTGGGATCTGTGTTTTATCTCCACCAGTCTTTTCATCACCCTATCCAGAAGATGGTCAACGATAGATGGAAAAACGTGGGGGGAGCCTCTCAGCTGGAAGACGGTCCGCAGGAGAAATCCCAGGTAAGCATTTTTAAAAAAATAAATAAATAAGTGAGGATGGTGGTCTAAGAGAGGCAAGGAATAGAAGAACGGGGGTAGGAGGATAAACCCTGAGTGAAGGAGAGAGGAACTGGTATCGATGGAGAAAGAGAGATGTACAAAAGGAAATTGGAGGGGGGCACAATTGGATGCTTAATTTGGATTAGTTACCCCCATTTATACTTACAATCAGGTGGTTAATATGGGGCTAAATAAGAGGATCTGATCCCTTCCCAACAATACACACACTATATTAATATTCCTCTGCACTTGAGGATGCAACCATCTCCATCCAGAGTCACTCTAGATTAAAAGGATGGAGGCTTTGGATTGGACAGGATACAGGATGCACTGCTTTCTCTCTGTTTCTTAGAAAACCAGCCACCCAAAAACTTTTTTATCCTCCTGTTGATGCTCCTCTCCCCTTCCTGTGCCCAGTCCTGTAATGTGACTGCAGTATCTTTGCACAAAATTAAAAAGATGTAGAAGTATTTGGGGACACACGGGTGGTACACTTTTGCCCATCCACCCATGGGAGGTGGTTTCCCTCTTAGCTGCCAGTCAACCCACTGGCCGATCTAGCTCAGGACCAGCTCTCCATGGGTTTTAGATGGGAAGCCTCTCCCAGCCCTACCTGGAGATGCCAGGGATCAAACCTGGGACTTTCTGCATGCAAAGCAGATGTTCTGTCGCCAAGCAAGGCCCTTCCATTAAAAATACAAATAGGATCCTAGTCTCTGGGATTCAGTATGGACATAAGGGGATGCCTTATGTCAGATCATTGGTCCATTTAGCTCAGTACTGTCCACACTGACTGGCAGCAGCTCTCCAGGACTTCAGGCAGGGAGTCTTTCCCAGTTCAACCTGGAGATGTCAGGGACGGAAACTGGGACCTTCTGCATGCAAAGCAGTTGCTTTACCACTGAGCTGTGCGCTTTCCCTGAAAAGCAAAGCAAGATGCTAGTCCTCATAATTTTGAATCAAGAGCTGAATTAAATAGAGATATACGAAGGTGTTTTATACTGAGACAGACCACTGGTCCAGTTAGCTCAGGACCAGCCGCTCTCTAGGGGTCTCAGACAGGGAGTCTCATACCAACCCTACCTGAAGATGCTGTGGGTTGAACCTGGTACCTTCTGCATGGAGGACATGCTGTGCTACTGAGCTACAGCCCTTGCCAGCAACGAAAACACAATAAACTGCGATAGTGAGTTCATCTGCTATACTGATGGGTAGCTGCTCCCACAGAGTTTTTCCCCAGCCCTACCTAGAGATGCCGTGGATTGAACCTGATATCTTTCACCTGCAGAGCAGGTAGTCTGCAACTGAGCTAAGCCCCTTTCCCTAAAAGTAAAGATTCTAGTCCTCATAGTTTTAAATACAATTATACAGGAACACAGGTAACTGTCAGACCATTGGTTCCATCTACCATCAGTACTGTCTACACGGAACGGCAGCAGCTCCCCAGGATTTCAGGGCAGTGGGCATTTCCAGACATACCTGGAGGTGCTGGCAATTGAACTTGGAGCCTTCTGCATGCCGAAGCAAGTGTCCTACCACTATACAGCAGCCCATCCCATCAAATGAAATCATGATCCAGGCTTTAGGTTGCTGAATTAAAGGCTGATTTCAACAGAAACATAGGAAAGTGGTTTCTATTGGGTCAAGCCATTGGGCCCATCAATCTCAGTACTGTCTATACTGACCAGTAGCAGCTCTCCAGGGGTTTAAAGCAGGAAGAGTTTCCCAGCCCATGCCAGGGATTAAACTAGGACTTTTTGCTTCCCACAGATGCTCTAAAACTGAGCTATGGATGCTCTTTGTGAACAAAGGAAGCTGTCTTGTTCAGAGCCAGACCACTGGTCCACCTAGTTCAGGACTGTCTACACTGACTGGCAGTAGCCCTACAGGGTTTCAGGCAATGGTTCTGTCTCCAACTCCTGCCTGGAGACTGAGCCTGGGACCTTCCGCATGCAAGGCAAGATGCCCAACCACTGAGCTATGGCTCTTTCCCTAAAAATAAAGCAAGACTGCACTGCAGGGGGGTTGGACTAGATGATCCTCAGGGTCCCTCCCAACTCTACAGTTCTAAGATCACAGACCTTGTGACTCTGAAGAAAAGACTGATTTTTAAAAAGAATTTAGCATAAGTCAGACATGGGTCCATCCAGCCCAAGATTGTCTGCACTGACTGACAGCTTTCGGAGCTTTCAGGCAGGGAGTCTTTCCCAGCCGCACCTGGAGGTGCTCTTGGGGATTGAACCTGGGACCTTCTGCATGCAAAACAGATGTTCTGCTGCTGAGCTCTGGGCTGTCCTCTTCAATCCGTCACCCCCTTCCCTATGCTGCCAAGTTGAGTGGCATCCGGTCATCCACTGCTGCCAGGATAGGGGTGGAGGACGCAGGTGCATGGCTAGCAGCAGTCTTTGGAACAGGTGCTCTCTCTGAAACACTGTGGAGTTGGGTGGCTGGGAGCCCATCATCCGCCCTGGCAACCCTCACCTCTGTTTGTGCGAGATTAGCAGGCGTGCACAGGTCTCTCGCTGGAGTTTCAGGATGGCAGGCTCTGTACATTCACTCCCAGCTTCACCCTCCTGCACACACACGCAACCTTCCCCAGGGACCCTCTTGGAACCTGTGTTGCTGGCTGTTGGCAAAATCCTCCTTGAATTATTTAGTTTATTTATTTACAGACAGAATGTCACTCTCTTTCTCTCTGACTCAGAGGCTGAGCCATAAGACAGGCAAATGGATAAACAGGCTGGGGGAGAGGGGGAATGGCACTCCCCACCTTGCACACCCCCCCTCTCCAAAGCGCCTATAGAAAACTCACATGTTCCCTTATGAGCCCAGAGGCACTCTGTTGTTGCAAGAAATGGTATTGATTGATTGATTGATTGATTGACTGCATTTGCATGTAACATGGTTCTCTCCAGCTCTTCATTTTAATCCCCACAACAACCCTGTGAGGTAGGTTAGGATAAGAGAGGTAGTGAGT